TTTTGAGGGAGACGAGGTGGGCGGGAATGGGTGGGCGCAGAAGGTGGAGGGAAGATGTGGAGGGGGAGGATGGGGGAAAGGAGTTAGGGGCGGGGGAGAGGTTCGCTGCGGGCGGGGTGGTGGTTGGTGTATGACGTTTGGAGGTTTGTGGTATTGTTGTTTTGTGGTAGTATTATTGTTTGAGGAAGTTTGTTTGTTGTTTTTGTGGTTTTTGATGTTGTGTGGCCTTAGTTGCTGGTTGGTATTGTGTTGTTAGTGCTGTGATTTTGTTGTTTATTTGTATGGATTGCTTAGTGGGTGTTATGTTTTTTTATTATCTGATGTCTGGGCGCGGTGTTGTGTCGGGTTGGCGGGCCTTGTGTTGTCATAGATTCCGACGGTGGTGGTATGTAGGTAGGAGGGAAGGAGGGGGAGGTGGCGATAGTGATGAGGACGACGGAGAGATTGAGGGTTGCATGCGAAGGGGGTGAGTGAGGAGATGCACGGGACTGATTTTGCACTAAAAAAAAACTTGCCAGCAAAATCGACCTTTTTCATTTGAAAAGGGTCGATTTTGCTAATTTTTTCTTGAAACGGTCAATTTTGCACATTAAAGTTAAAAAACGGTTCTTTTTAAAAATTTGTCCACAAAAGAATTTCAAGAGAGGCAACAATATATCAAGCTCTTAAGTTTGTTCCAATCCATATAATCATTCTAGCATCTGGTAAACATGATTTGGGAATAAACACCCAATAAACCCAGGGGGTTACATAAATACGAACCTCTCAACAAAAATCAAAGCTAGTAATCATGAAAACAAAAGAATTTGATCAATGAAAAAAAATTATTTTCATATTCAAAAGTTTAAAGTATAATTTTTCAAAACCAAAAAAAATAAAAACACTAAAATTTTTGGTTTAAGAAAAATTATTTTGGCACCCAAACATTCTTGGTGTCGGATTGGTTAGGGACATGACCCCTATCATTTAAGCTCAAAGCCCTAGGGTTATGAACCCTCTTGGGCATATATGGTGCACGAGATCGGTCATAGCAATAATCACTCAAATGACCCTTCCGATTATAATATGTACAATGGAAAGGAAGCATTTGCTTATGTTGACCATTAAAAGGTGCACGTGAAACATTTGCAAACAAAGGTAAATTATTTGAAGCTTTTTACAAATGTGAAACATTATCAAAACAAAACTTTTCTAAGTGGCCAAATCTACCACAAACATTACATTTATAAACATGTGGTCTACTAGAAACATTTGGCAAATGAGATTTATTTTTCAAATCAAAACAATATTTGGCCAAATGACCAAAACGATCACAAATATCACATTTAAACACATGAGCATGCTTATGATAAACATGATGAGTATGTGCATGTGTATGTGTATCACATTTAAACACATGAGCATGCTTATGATAAACATGATGAGTATGTGCATGTGTATGTGATGAAGATGCTACATGAGATGCACAAGGAGCATTAGCATTCTTATGTTTGTGTGCATCATAGCAAAATTTTGATAAATGACCTTTTCGGCCGCAATTAGAGCATTTGTAAACTTTGCTATATATGTGTGCATAATGAGTGGATGATGATTTAGACTTGGCACACATATCCATAAGCCCCTTATGATTATTAATGCATGTTTTCAAAGTTGAATCTAAAGATGAAATGCATTTATTCATAAGATTCAAATCTTTATTTTTAGGCATATATGCATTTTTATTAGAAGTAGAACATAAATAGTTATTTATAAAAGAAGCAGTATTATTTTGTTTCCTAAATGAAAAATATCATTATTTTATAAAATAGGCCAAAACATGAAAATATAAACATGTGAATTTTGATATTTTGGCTAAACCATATTTTGAAACTTTGCACAATGATTATGTAGACTTAATAAAATATGTATATGATTATTGTTAAGTCCAAAAACTAAGAATACAATATTTTTACAAATACAATAGAAAATAAAACATATGAGTATGTATATGAAAATATATTTGTTTCATATCTAAGTAGTTAAACCAAATCACAATAATAAATATGAAATATGTAATTTCATATTTGTAAACATGAAAAACCAAAACCATGCATGTATATATATAACTATATATATACATAGAAACCAAATACGTGTGTGTATATGATATTGAGCTTAAGGTACTTAACACACATAATATAAAATCTAAACTAAGTTACCCAAGCTAGGTCTTGATCTTCAATAAGCTCGACTTGGTACACTTGCAGATGAATCTTGAACTTGATCTTTAACTTTGAATTGCGCAGGCTTCACTCCACAATTCTGCCAACCTCCATTGGATATGATCGTTGAACCTCTATTCCATCCATCCTCCAACACGTTGTTTGTCTACAATAAATAGAAATATACCAACACTAGACAAACAATATTAGAAGTAAATTGTTTGTTAAACATCATCAAAACAAGAAGGCCAACAACCCGTAGTTCTAGCTTTGGTAGGGGTCCTTTCTTGTATTTGTGCCGAGCTCATGGCAGTTGGAGACACTACATTGGAGAGGAGATATTAAGGCGATGATATGAGATGGCAGATTTGGTGAGTTGTTCCTTTCTGGAGGAGGATCAGTGTTGGTTGTCGAGCATTAGATTTAGTATTCGGGCTTCGACATGTTTGGGTCATCTTATGCATAGGTTGCCGACTGTTACGTTTGGAGATTTTGGATCTGATGGAGCTGCTTCAGATTTTGGTTGGCGTCGGATATTTGGTTACCCAGCACTTGGTCACATAGATGATGTAAAATTTGATCCGATTTCACGTTTGGGATTCAGAGGCTCGTTTGGTTATCATTTGGGAGCTTCTGATTTCGTTCTGAGCAGGTATGTCATATTGGACTCTCGGCAGGTGAAAAGTGTTGATCAAATAAGTTGGATATTGCAGCGGGTGGAGGGTGATGCTACTCCACATTGGGTGGATATTACTCCACATACTCTAGGTTATTCTGTATTATTTGGGACTTCAGCTAAGGTGACACAGCATGGGGGTCATTCGGTTTCAGATGCAGATGACGCGTTGATTGTTTTGAGTGCAGGTGATAGGCGTAGTTTGGACATGGCCATTGGTTCACCTCAGGCAGAGGTGTTTGGATCATTTCAGTTTGAGGTCATTGGAGGTGCTATCAGTCGCGGATTTGGTGATGATGGAGGAGGGTTGCGTGCTCTTCTATTGGATTGAGGGCCTTTGGAGGCCATTGGGTGAACTACGTGAATGCTTGATTCCTTGGGCAAGAGGATACATAGACAGTTAGTTTTGATGCAGTCGATTTGATGAGTAGATATCGACGTTTGGGGAGAGTGTTCGCACTCCCGTTTGGGTCTCAACTTGTTGTGGATTGAGTCTGTTGTCGTGAATCGTTTCACGGCGTACTGGACGTAACAAGTGGGACATTTGGTTTGGTTGGTGTCGGCTCAGTTTTGGAAGAAACTTCACCGAGGTGGAGAATTGAAGAAACAACGAAGAATTTCAAAGAAGAGTGTTTTGGAGTTTGGCAGTCGACCACGGCACAAGGCCGGTCGACCGCATACGTGCACAAACCTGAGATTTGGTTCAGGACTTAGCGCGGTCGAGCGCGATACCATGTAATGTTTTTTTGACTCTTTGTCATTTGATCGCGGTCGACCGCGAGCTTTTGGCGGTCGACCGCGTAGCGGGTGTGGGTCTGTTTTGTGTTTCCGTTCTTATTGGGTTTTGGTGTTTGTATAAATACCAATACACGTTCTAGGGTTTCTTAAGGCTAGAGTTTGGGATATTTGGAGCACAGAAAAGAGGTACTTTCTGAGCTATTTGATTAGGGTTTATTTGGAGAGATTAAGAGCTTTGTGGTGAGATTAGTTTGTTCCTTCGAGTGATTTGTAATCTTAATTTGTACTCTTCTTCTCTATTAGTGAAAACCTCATCCCCTTCTTGCCCCATGGATGTAGGCAATTGCCGAACCACGTTAAAATTGGTGTTTTGAGTTTGTGCATTGATTTTGGTTGGATTTTGGCTTTTTTGATCGGCAGTTGGTTTGGTTCCTCGACACCGGTTTTACCCAACATTTTCATACTATAGATAATTAATTATCTAGTAGCATCGCATGGTTATAACACTAGTTTATTAATAAAACATGATTCCGTTTTGAGACCAAAAGTAATAATTGGGGTTTAAAACTCTACTTCTTCAGGATTTACAACAGAGAGTTTTCCCCCTCCCTTGAATTGTACAAGTGATCTCAATCTCTCAAGTTTAAATTCCGGTCTGTATCATCTCACAATCCACTATTGGGATGCTCATGAAAAGTTTACATACACTAAGACCCTAACCTACGATCGAAGTTAGTATCTGCTTTGAGCTAAAACACGATAATTTATACTTTTTACGGATAGTAAGAAAAATCTTGCACTCTCTTGAAGGCGGACAATGATAGAAAATGCGTTTTTATCTCAACTAAAAGTAACTTTGCTCCAAATTGGGATCCTCTTTAGCCGATATTATTATCAAATTAGTCTAAGAGGTCATTACTTCTAATCATAATCATCTATTATTTAGTACATGGTTAGAATTTACTGTATAATTTACCACTTATCATATTTTCTATCGCACTCATACTCTTCATTCAATACAAATCACAACCCTTAACTAAATAACGGACAATTATGATTAAACCAGAGGCATGTCCAGAAAAATTTTTTTATAGCAAAGAGAATCCTAATCTCTTGCTCTTCAATAAGTTTTGTGTCATTCACGTCAAAGTCATTCCTTCATTCAGAAAACGGTTTGAGCCGTGACACAAGCAAACTAGCATATCCACTCCATGAAAAAGACTAGATACCCCCTGCTTTCTTGATGCCGCATCAAACAGCAAGCCTGATACGGAACAATACAATTTTAGCGCAACAACAAAAAAAAAACAATTGATAGAAAATAATTGGACGTCAGAGGCCATGAATCCAATCCACATAAATCTTTAAATAAAGTTCCATATACATAAGCAACCTAGTCATATCTCATCCAAACTCAATTATAATAACATCAAGAAGCAAAGATTGTGCCATCTCAAACAAGCACTTTCCTCTGCTTCCTTCTCCATTTTCATCACTATGGTTCAAATCAAAGAATTGTATCCTTTGTCGCGGAATTCTATAGATCAAGTTTACATTCTCTTTTTTTTTTCCTTGACCTTTATTTTGTTGGGTTTCTTCTAGTCGAATTGCGATGCCCTTGTCCATGGAAGAGGTAAATATTAAATCATAGAACTTTCATTGTTGTAAAGTTACATCTTAGGAAAATGACTAATGTTCATTTTCCTTTTTATGCAGTATGAGATAGCTCTTATGTACACTGTCATAAAAATGGAGCAACAAAACACTTCAAGTAAAGAAGGGGTGGAGATACTGCAAAGTGCACCTTTTGAAGATGAAGTGCTTGGACAAGGATATTACACATCAAAAGTCTACCATCTTCAGAGGTTTATTTCAGAAATTTTATCGTAGCTCCTCGCGTTAGTTTGTGATTCCTGATATATATATATATATACATATATATATATATATATATATATATAGTATAATATAGTATAGTATATTATATCATATATAATATATATTATATATCTAGGGTAATGTATATTATATTATATAGAGAGAGAGAGAGAAGATGAGAGAGAGAGAGTGCAAGACTCCTATGCAACTTAAAGTGGATAGGGAATAGTTTGTCCACGCAAACTTTCTAATCACAAATATATATATGACAAAGTCCACTTCATATACATGGTGAAAAGGATCCTAGGAAACATCTAACTGGTTAAGAAGTTTTGTGGATGTACCAATTAAGGATGACAACAAGTTTTCTTATTATATATATATATATATATATTAATTTAAACGGAGATGCACTGCACGAACTCATCACTATCGTGGGCTCTAGAAAGAGTCAGATAATTAAGCATATATATAATTAAGGGTTAATTGTAGATAGATTTTCTGTGTATGGATACCAAGTATCTTGTGATTGCTATTCCTTGTGTTTTAATGCCTTATGAATTATTGCTGTGCAGCAAAATCCCAACTTGGCTGAAAACATTTGCACCGGCTAATGCTCTCTCAGTCCAAGAGGAATCCTGGAGTGCTTATCCAAAAAGCAAAACAGGTTCATTAAATTCACTCAATGTTAGAGTACACAATACAACTACTCGATCAGAAGCGTGCACTAACCTCTTTACTGTTTATTTCTATGAAATTGATCTGCCCCATATCCAGTGATCAAGGTGGATATCTTCCTCTTTGCTGTTTATTTCTGTTAAATTGACAAACAAAAGAAGTATTACTTTTTGAAATTTCAAAATGCAGTGCCCTTACTTTGATCGGTGCTGCCTAACCATTGAAACTGTTAACAAAGCTGACAATGGCTGTTCTGATAATGTAAGCACAATAAAAATTCATTGGCATTTCAAATTTCTTCTGCTGGTTTCAGTATTAATCATTCTGATTATAAACCTGACAAATTAGGTATTTAGCTTAAGCGACGAGCTACTAGCTGCAAGGTCGGTGGAAGTTATCGATATAACTTCAGTTGCGAAAGATTATTGGAGTAAAATGATAGGTACATTAAGAGTGGACTTGTCTAAATTCCAATCACAGAGAACAAGCCGAGGTCCACTTTCGAAAGGATGGAAGGTATGAATCAAGGGAAACATTATGATTCAGTATTGATTAAGTATTGATTATCACTCGGTATAATTCAGTATTGATTATGTATTCATTTATGTAATTTTCACATTCTTTTGATTCCTCAAACTGTCTTTTCAACCTGTCTTAAATTTATGTATTTCAAAGAAAAAACGATTTTATTGCGTATAAAATACTAAATAGCTTGCATCTACATGACGACTGTAGGATACATGTCATCCTGTTATGACAACATACAAGCTGGTTACCATGGATGCTCCTATTTGGGGATTTGGCAGTCGTTTGGAAGAAACTATGATTGAGGTATATTTCTCATTTTATCATCATCCATAAAGTTTGCAAAATCATGCGCATGACTCTTGGCAGTCACTTTTTGTGGGAATGTGATATATTTCATAGATTGGCAAACCTCTATGCACATATCACACCCAAAATGATGCACGTGCACACAACACGCACACAAAATTATACAAAACTACTGACTTGGACTTAACCATTACACCAAGACTCCAAAGTCGTGGTGGGAGTTTAGGGTTTTAATTTTATATTCTAACATGCTCCCGTAGGTTAAGCGTCCTTTTTATGAACCAGAACCTAGATTTACGCAGTAGCGTCATTTTTTTAGAAAATTTGCTTTAAATTCGGGTTTCTTTGGTACCATATTAACGTCCCTAAATATTGCACTCGAACTCTAAAGTTGTGATGAGAGTTTGAGTGTTATATATGGTTTTATATCCTAACTATGCCCTATTTCGGTGCATATATCATGGATCCTTGCTTTATGAACAGGGTGAAAGAGCATTGCTTCTGGAATTGCATAGACGATGCTTTGCTTGGATAGATGAATGGTATGGCATGACGATAAAACAAGTATCTGAGATGGAAAGGGAAAATGATTTATTACTTAAAAAGGTACATGGCTTAATCTACAAAGTCACATGTTTTATGAACACTTATTTGTTATTCTCATTTCATCACAGCAAGTTGCTTCTTCTCAGTTTACATCTTTTGAGGAAAGTACGTCATGCCTAAATTTAGGATATTATACTGATGATTATACCTGTAAACTGATAGATTTGGTCATTCATATGATAAGTTACAAGTATACTTTTTTTTATCTTTGTTACATTATTACTGACCCTTTTTCGTTTTTCTATGGCAGAGGCTTCATAGGTCATCATCAATAACGCGTGAAGGAGACTCCAAGAAGAGAAGCATGAATAGCAGCAAAATCTTTATACAGTCTTAACTAATCTATTGTAGAGAAGAATAATGCCAATGTCTATGATCAAAGACGAAGATCAAGAAGAAGCCACAACTCAAAAGCAAATCCCTTTTCAGTATCAAGAATAATGCCAATACCACAACATTGTCACTGCTCATGCCTGCTATTGCTAAAAATGCAGCAACAACGATTATAAGAATTTCTTTCAATAAAATGTTACGGTAATCATGATTCATGATGGAGGTAAAAAATTACATAACATTAAAAACTTTTGGATGAAGCGATCGTAGCAATCAAATAATGGTGGAGATGCAAGTTTATAGCGTAAACTTTTAGTTATACAAAGTTACAAACGCCTAGATATAATTGTTGTACAAAATGTTTCCAACTACAAATACAATTTAAGCTAACATCAAATGCAGTTGTCTGAACATTACAACAAATAGCAAACAGTTGTTGATACCCAATTATCCCACCTGCTAAAAAAAACACCACAAACAACAAACTAATCCAAACTGATATATGATGGTGATACGTAGAAGCTTCTTCCCTCTTCTAACCAAACGATCGTCAATAAACTTACCCCCAGTCTTTGGTTCTTTGTACATCAAAAACCGAACAAATTCACCGATCTAAAACTGAAACCTGCTCGGTCTAGCCTTAGTCATTCGGCTCTCTCCATAGGGCTCATCATTATCCATCCTTCTATTGTTTCTAAAAGCAGCACATCCAACAACATAAACGATGACGAGGATTATAAGAACGACGATGTTAATAATAGAAACTTTTCTCCAACTGTGTCTGACGCTTGCTAGGACTCCAGCCTTGCAAGAGTCGCAATCGAAGCAGAGTTGTTGCTGGTCATTGCTCCATCGGGTGCAGTCGATATCATTGACCACCATAGCCCCACCGGTTGGATTCCATAGAGTTTCATTGATGTAGGTGTAGCCACAAGATGTTGGTGGCTTGCAACAGCCAGACTGCATGTTGAGTAAGACGGAAAAAACTCGTATGATTAGATTTTGTGTAAGCAGATCTCTCAAACTTGACTTCTAACATATAAAAGGAAAACGGGTCTCCGTTTATATTATATACCCCTTAAAGCATGCCTATTCGCAAAACTACCCCAAATCTCTGCATTTACAAAACTACCCCCTAAATCATTAATTTTTTTGGTGTTTTCTTTTGGGGTGGGGGTGGGGGTGGGTGGGGGGAGNGAGGAGAACCTCCAAGTCAAGGCTAATTTGTAATTGCACTATAACATATTGACAAAATAGTCAAATTTTTACTAACCATGACCAACAGAGTTACTGACCTGTTTATTTGATGTGTTTTTTCCCCAAAGTTGAGGATCTGGAGGATAGTTACGCAAATACTGAGATATGGAGTAGTTTTGCAAATACACATAAGTTAAGGGGGTATATACAAAAAAAGGAACCAGAATAAAAATGAAGGGGATCGTCTTGCTAATTACGTTGGAGCAAGTGCGCCTCAATCCTCATTAGCTAAATGCGATTAGATTGTTAATTGGTCTAACATATTAGACAATAATAAGCATATTAGGAAGTGAATAAGCACTTCACGCACGATGCAACTATAATATTGCCTTGTTCATATAGGCTATAGCATGTGGAAATTTATTTTGAATATAATATCTAGACTTGATTACTCACCAATAATCAAATAAAGCGCTCGCGTCAACAACTGTTTCTAAGAAAGAACTGTTTAGATTAAACAGAACTGAAAGTAATAATATAAAGCGAACAATGCATGCATTTTCACTTAAGAATGAGGTACCCAGATACTACATAAAAATATGATTTTGGCATCTTCATCTATTTAACATAAAAAGGTTGTTGGTGCTGGTTCAACACTAAAATTAGTCATAAAAGTATATTAGAAATGGGCAGAGACGCTAAATAACCAATTTGACCGCTACCAACAAAGGTCATCAAAATTTTAAATTATGAAGCTAGTGTATCCTGGATCTCTGAATAACATTCATGGATCCAATATAATTTCCCAAACCTACTAACCTAAATGCATAATTGCATATATAGAGAATTAACAAGTAAAAGTGTAAAACACTTGTACTGCATAGCTTGCTATAACGGTGTCTTGCTTCTTTAGGAATCGTAACCACAAGAATCCTTTATTTCCGATAGATCAAGACATACAAAGCCACTGACAATCTCTCTACCCCAAAATGAGAGACCTAACTCGAGAGGACACATTCTTAATCAAAGAGAAGAACCTTCTTTACAGAGGAGTGCAACTGCTACACAACTACTGAAGGTTGTATTGTAATTAATCCCAACATTAATTGCAATAGAAATTATTTAAATCAGCTGTTAGTGACGTGATATGTACATAAATAGTAAGGATATAATCACCGATTTAAACTGATGAATTATGGAATTACAAGTATATTACTTAAAACAAGATGTCCAAACCCATATCAACATTCGCAAGAAGACGTCCAATTTTACTATCCATTTCTTTTCCTTATCTACGGGGAGGATATATTTATATCCACATCCAAGTAGATATTGATGTTGATCCTCTTCGTATAATGAAAACTTGTTTTCATCCTCTTCACAATTAACAAAATTTTATGTAGAATAAAGCATACGTCAACACCGAGAAAATATTTTATTGTTAATTTATTGTTAACGGCATAAGTCACAATTATATCTCTGATATTTTCATGGCACCCAATCATCTACTTATCACTCATATAGCCACATCCTCTCTTCTATTGTTCTCTCTCTCCACTCACTATCAACCCTCAACCTATCCTTTACTTTACTCTTGTTTCTGGCTATGGAATACAATGCAAAGAAATTATGGGGGTTATTTATAGATGGTCATGGCTACTACTGTGTAATGTTGGTATACCAACCCTCCTATAGCATGGTTGGTGTCACCAACTAATGTTGAAGTCAGTGCTAACTTCAACACTCTCCCTCATCAACGACTTCTCAATCTAGCATTTGTCACTCGCTCGTTTTTTTCTTGTAAACAACATACTTACAACACACTCTCTAATATTTTAATCACTGTCATTTCATCCATGGACCTATTTACCACCCATACACCTACTCATTATAACCAAATTTGCAATTTAACTTGCGGTTCCGATCTTTCACTCAAAGACCGAAGGCATATAAGTGCATCCTCACTTTCTACGGGAGAAGGTTCTTCAAAGAGAAATAGTAAGGGAGACGATCAAGACCACCAAGCAAGCAGCATACGTATTCACTAAGAGCTCAGTTCTATGAAGTTGACAGGATTTAGAAGTCAACTAGGACTCATGCACAAAGAAGCCGTTGAGGGAGAATATTAAAGTTAGCACTTACTTCAACATTGATTGGTGACACCAACCATATTGTAGGATGGTTGGTAGACCATCCCTACATAGTAGTAGTCACAGCCATCTATAAATAACACACAAGGTTTCATTGCAGAGTATCCTATTGGCAGACAAAGCAAATGTTGGGTTGATATCAGTAGTGAGTGGAGAGGGAGAGAACAATAAAAGGGAGAGAGAGTGACAGCGTGTCGCTGATAATGGGTGGTTGGCTGTATGAGTGATTAGTAGGTGCATGGGTGAAATGGTTGTGATTAAAATATTAGATAGTGTTTTGAGCTATGTTGTTAACTAGAAAATATGACTTCCAAAATTTAACTTCCTATCCATTTTTTTCAGAAGACTACCAAATTAAATGGATTACAGTTTGTTACATTCCACCTAAGGATGTGAAGTCTTTAATGATCTAGGACAGGGGATGGAGGTCTGATTCATGACAAAGAGATGGCTCCCAACTCCAAAACCACGTGTAGTAGCCTAAATTTAAAACTCTGAAGCCCATAAGGCCCACTTAACAGAGACTTGATGTTGCTCTCAACCTTCCCCCTTCAACCAATGAGCCATTAGCCTAGAGCTCTCCCCTCCTCTTCTTTAATGGTGAGGCCCCACCATTTAGGTGACAGAAATAGACCTCATTCCTCAATCATGCAGCTTGTGGTGGTCCATACCTTTTGTTTGTTAGGGCAAAAGAGAAACTGAAAAGGGGATATTTACTGCATCAACCCAACCAAGTGCAAATTCTAGTTGGCTCTCTGCTCATTTTCTTTGTTTCGGGTTTGTCACATGATAGTGTAGAAAAAGGCTAGATTTCTTTTCTTTTTCCCATCCTCAACCAGTCACTACTTTTGGTTCAGTCTTTAATAACCCAGTATATACCAGGGTGAATCTTGTGTTTCCTATTTCTTATATAATTAACGTGTTGGTCATCACCTGCACGATTTGGATATTAAGATGAACCTTGTTGCTTTGAACAAACTTAGTCAATGAAGTCTTTTTACAACTTTACTTGTATAGCACTTGACTTAACTAAGTTGCAATAAAATCACTTGATTAAGTTGCCCCATAAGAACCCTTTTCACTAATTAAATCCACTCACCAACTCCATCCACGACAAACTAATAATTCCTACACTATTTGCTCTTCTAATAGAAACATAGCCAAAAAAACAAGAGAAACTAAAATTAACAAAAACCCATGAACCAAATCACAAAAAAAAAAAAGATCAAATGGGTCTCCCTCAAATCACAAACAAAACAAGACCGACAAACCAAAATCCAAACTTTTTCATACCTCAATCGGAGAGAGCTCCCTCTGATAGAACATGTCAGCAGACTCCGGCACCAAAATCCCAGTCGCCCGATCTCGCCCAAACCTCCTCATCCCTCGACAAGCCTTGGCATCCCTCAAACAAGAACTAATCTTCGCCCAATACCCAGGATCCGACACCCGATTCTTCAACCAGCCCGAGTAATCCGAGAGCTGGTACTCCAGAAAGGCCCTGTTTATGATAACCTGTCCATGGCCGCGATCAGTTACGGCGAAGGCGAAGACGATGAAGACGATGAGGGCGATGACGACGAAGAACATGGCGAAGAGGTAGAGCCGAAGGAGCCAGGTTTGGCGGTAGCAGGCGCCGGCGAAACCCATAAAGGAGATGACCATGATTGTGACCCCGATGACGATGATAGGCCATTGGAGGAACTTGAGGCAGTCTGTGTTGTTGGCGCGAGAGCTCAACCAGATCCCGCCGCCGAGGATGGGGATTGAGATGAGGAAGGTGATGAAGTTCACTGCTCCGATCACTGAGTTGCTGCCTCTCATCGTTTTTTTATTTTTATTTTTTTATTTTTTTATTTTTCGTCCGGGGAGTCTGGGAGCTTTGAGTCGGAGCTTGGAGAAGAGAGGGAGAGTGAGAATTGAGTTGAAAATTTCTTTCTTTTGGGTGGAGATGAAAACGTATAGAGGGAGGGGAGGTGGGGCCCAGAAGAGGATCAGAAGGAATAATAAAGAAATGGGAGTTGGTAAATGAGAGATTGTGAGGGGAGACACCGGGGCGGGGTTGGTTTTGTCGTGAAGTGAGACCAACGGAGATATTATTATCACTGTTTCCCCCCCTTTTATTCTGCATAAACGGTTGAAATTTTTGATTTGACAAGTGCAAAATTGGTCTAAAAATAATGGTGGAAGCCTTTTTTTTTTAAAATTAATATCTCCCTCAAGAAACCCTCAAATGTCTCTCTTCTAATTTTTTTTTCCTTAATAAAACACTCCTTTTCGGCCCAATTCAGCTCACAAAGCTCAGAATTGAGCATTCATTGACGTGGCAAATAGTTTCGAAAATGTGTTTCTATTTTTATCCGGAACCAAACACAAGCTTAGGAATTCCTTTTCGATTATTTTTCTTATTTTCTGCCACATTCTGACTTTGTCAGACCCTTTTTAATTGTTTTCTTTTCTATTCCTTGTAACCAAAGCCAAATTTAAGATGCCTAAAAATCACTTTGTTATAATTTTTATGTAATTGTGTTTACAAAGAGAAATTTCGGTTTAAAATTTTTTTTATTTTTGAGAGTTTGTACAACTTTTTGCCCCCTCCAAAATCATTTAAAAAAAACAATAAACAAAGTGAAAGTCGTTTATATGTTTATTTATTTGATGGTCTTTTGATATGCTTTCACTAATGAAGATAATGAAGAGAATGACGGAGAAAGAATTAGGTTGAGAGAAATCACAATCATCATGCATATTATTGTTGGAATAGCTTTAAAAAAAGTTTATATTTAAATTAAAGATCTATATTTTTTTTCTCAAGAAAGATCGATCTATATCCTTCTCTTTCCATCTTAATCATCAAATTGATAAAGCTCAATAACTTGGAGAGTCTCTTAATTAGAAAATTTCCCTATACAATATACTATTATTTTTAATTATTTATTTTTTTAGATTTTTTTTGGGAAAAACTTTAGTTTAGTTTAGTACTAGCCAAGTAAATCCTTAATTAGAAACGTTCCTTAATACATACTTCATAGGTAAGAAATGCTTTATTTCCTTTAGAAATCAATGAAAAACATAAAAAGAATCTCTAAAAGTAAAAAGACTACAAAGTATCGGTGAGAACTTTCCCCTTTTTTTTCCTCAAATTTTTTTTCCTCAAAAAATATGAAAACCAATAATAACATAAATTGGATAGCTAATGCGTCCCCCCTTGAAAATAGCATTATATTCTTGGATATGCTCAAAAAGGGGTGCTTGCTTTCAGCAATGCCCAGTCACCGCTTGCATATCCCTTCCTCTTCATTACCAAAATATCTTCTGTTGTACGTTTAAAATACTTGACACGTGTGAGGCGCACGCTAACCTAAACAACGAACAAAATTTTGCCCAAAACGAGGGTAACTAATACGAAAATCACCTTTGATTTTACCTCCAAAAAAAAAAATTCGCTTTTGATTTTGATGGGGTTTTAATACGACAGAAATGTTAGGCACATGAATGATGAATCATCATGCACAAGTTTGTCATTTGTAACAAAAAATTCTTCAAATCATGATGATATGGTCTCTATCAATTCTTATTGCACTACAAGCTTGATTAATAATTTTGTATAATTTATTTTGCTTATTCTCCAAATTCTGACAGTAGAGAGGATCTGAAACTTTTGTCCATGTATATCTACTCTTCTATACTTAAAGGAGGATCTAAAGAATCACTGTTTATACTACAGTAAATAATACAGTGAATTACTTAGCATGAACAGTAAATCAGACATGTCCCTCCCCGCTTGAAGTTACTGTTTAGGCCACAGTATTTACTGTAGCATAAACAGTAAATCAGGTATAGCCCTCTATACTTGAAGCTACTATTCATTCTACTATAATTTACTGTATTATAAACAGTAAAACAAATTTAATGTATTAAAACGTGAATTCTTCTTCAAGTATAGAGGAGTATATATGATTTTCAAATCAAATGCATAAAAACTTTGATCATTCTTTAAGCATATAGGAGTAGATATGATTTTAATTTTAAGCATACAATAGTTTAATCAAATGTGTTAAAACTAATAGGAAGGCAAATTCAAAGTGCGGTGCTTAAAAAACCGGGGATTAATCGTGCAAAGGTTAGGTGAAAGTATAGCTATAAACTTCAAAAATGTCTCTCATAATGAAAAACATATAACATAATTCTTCCGTTGAATTATGTTGAAATCATAAGCAGCTTCGATAGTTACAGTTTAAACTGTTAATAAACCACCCAAGTTACTAGATGCAATGAGATGTTTTCTTTTTAATTTTAAATACACAATATGAATTGTGCACGACAAATTCTAAACATAGATTGCAACTTTTATCATAAGAATTTTTTTTCTCATCACATGTCCGAATCAGAGGGGATGACTGAATAGTAAGATTAATATAATTAAGCAAGGGGAAAAAAAATACTAGAGTCACAAATATAAATATATGATAATGATCAAGTTGTTAAAGACTGTAGTTCGATTCTTAACCGATTTAAAGAAGGGCTTTTTGTCTTTAGGTCCAATAGTTTACCTCCCTTTATTTTTAAACCCAAGTAGTATTAGTTGTATCTCTAAGCCCAAATTTCTTTTTGTATTTGTCTTTAAACCCAATTTTCTTATATAGGGGGACCCACATATAAGAGTATTATATTTTGGAATTGGGTTTAAAGATAAATACAAAAAGAAATTTGGGCTTAGAGATACAACTAATACTACTTGGGTTTAAAAATAAAGGGAGGTAAACTATTGGACCTAAAGACAAAAAGCCCTTTAAAGAATATGATTAGTATAGTTGAGTCGGAAATTTTATAAGATAAATCATAAAGATTTCATTATACTTCTTTTGTGTTTCATATGATTAAGACATCCGTTGTAACCACATCCAATAAAATATTTTATTTTATTTATTTTATCACTATTATTATTTTGAAAAAGAAATGTCTCATTAATTAAAAAAAAAATCTAATCAGCATTATCAACAAGCAAAAGACGAGAAAAATTATCAGGAAGCTCCCAGAGCCAAAATATCTAGCCCTCTAACCGCCTAGTGAATATAATGTATATATTTCTACTCTTTTTTCAGTGATATTTCAAAGTTTAATAGAAAAATAGCACGATTGGAATTGCAAAAAAAGAAAGTGGCCGGGCTTCCTAGAAAAATTTCAGCGCCCCTCTTCACCGTCCAAAAGCGGACGGTGCGGGAAACTGTCGCTCCGCAACCCATATTTCTCGTTTCTTTTTGTCCCAGTGAGAATTCCAAACCGCACCCAAGATTTGACCCAAATATAATTTGAGCTAATAAAGCTGCGTGGGTGCATCTTTAGTGGTGCGCTACGAATTAAATTATCATGTATTAACAAATGAGAAGGACAAATAAACAAGCAAAACGGATAAGCGCGCGAACGAGGGGGCTGTGGGACCACCTGAGGGGGTTACCGGTTTTAGCGGTGACGACAACCACGTGGGCCAAGATCCCTATCCATCACGCTGGGTTATGTCTTTTACTTAAATTTTCTTTTAAAATATCTTTCCCTTAAATGTGTTTGGTGCCGATTCAAACTCCCTGTTCGATCCGGAGGATCTAAAGGATAGGTCCAGTCTTAGTAATTTTTTAGAGATCAAGTTAGCTTAGTGGATAAGTCAGTGGTCTTTTTAAATAAGACGTTCTATTTTAGAATCTAGAAATTTAGAATCTAGAAATAGAGAGAAGGAGAGAAAATATTTTTTTAATTAGGGTTTAAGAAAGGATTGTATGTTGTCTAAAAATTACTGCAGATAGCTGATCCCCATCAAACACCGATGATTGAAAGTTACAATTTGACGATTTCCAGAAGATTACAATTTAAAAACTTTCACGTAGATCGATAAATGTTACAATCTGACAATCTCCACAGTAACCGATGAAAGCTCTAATTCAACAGCCTTCACAATCAACATCGGGAGTTACAATCTGACGACTCTCATATTTTTAAGGAGCAAAGACGAAGATTACAAGATAACGATCGTTGCAATGCTCTAGCAAAAAAGGTTACAAATTGACGGTCTCTTCAAATCAAGACGCAGAGCTCACCTCTGCGTCCCAGATTCAAAACGCAGAGGTCATGCCCGTGTTTCAGATTAAAAACGCAGAGATCATGACTACGTTTCAAATCAAGGCGCAGAGCTCACCTCTGCGTTTCTGTGTCCCAGATTCAAAACGCAGAGGTCATGCCTGCGTTTCAGATTCAAAACGCAGAAGTCGTAGCTGCATTTTAGATTCAAAATGCAGGGCTCACCACTGCGTTCCAAGCTCAGAACGCATGGGCTCACCACTGCATTTCTAGCCGCCAGTGCGGAGCTCTACTCTGCGTTCCAATCCCAGAACACAGAGTTCGTGCTCAAAACGTAATTCTTGCGTTTGACTCGTTCAAACATGAGTTCAACGGTTTTAAAACCGTTTTCCACGATTTGAGGGATCGTTCCCCCACTTATAAGCGAATTAAGGGGGCGATTACACCTCTTAATCCCCTATAAATAACAAAAAAACTCAACTGAGTTCAGGATCTCCAATTGGATCAAGTTTTTTACATTCAAAAAATCAGATAAAGAGAGGATCAGAGCTGGGGAAAGGAGGTGATCTTGAAAAGAGGGGCTTTGGCAGAATCTTTTGGAGATTGGCTTTTTGCATGGCAATTGCACAAAGAGAGATCAGCATTCATCCTTGAAGCATTCTTCAGCAACAGAGATCCTTGGAGTTTAATCTTGGCTTATAAACGATTTTCGGTTCAAATCAACTTTTCTACAGAGTATAAAACTTGCACTGAGTTCCTAAACTCATCAAGAGTTCTGTTCAAACTTGCCACGCAAGTCTTCCTCAACATCAATCAAGAGGAAGAAACCGTGTTCCAATGAAGTCAAACGTTCGGATCGTCAACGGGAT